ACTTTGGACGATATTAATAGTATGCACTCTGATAAGATAGGAAGATGGGAAACATCACCGTTTCGTGACCTTCACTTTCAATGTAGTGAATTTGGGTTCTCCGAACTAAATGTTTGAACTGTGAAGCTTTCATGAATTTTATAAATAAAATCCCCAACACAAGATTAAAAAGAAATAGAATAATAAGTTCTTCACAAGTTAATTACAAATAGTTCAACCAAAACGAAATGTTGATCCTTGTTTAATAGTTGTAATGTAACAAGTCACTTAACTTTGGTTTAATATTTTATACATAGAAAAAAACTATATTATTAACTCTTTCATCAATCCATTTTTGTAAGTAAATCATCTGTTCGAACACTTTAATCTACTAGCATTTTATCAAATTAATTATGGTGCCATGAAAATACTCAACGGTACAAAATTAGACAGATAATACGTTCAACCTGTGGTCATTATTCTATACTCTGGAGCTAGAAGTTCTTGGTATTAGATTTGTTACGATCAAGAACATAAGTTACAGTTATTCAAACTCTAAATCACCTACGAAATATATGATGTTAATCTGTGAAGAACAGACTTGGTAATACTTATTTGTCTTTTAAGAAACAAACAATATAATGTTAAGAAGAAAAAACTTTAATTTGTTCCTTAAATTTGTTAATGAATAATTCTTTGCCAATTTAACTTGATTAATTTTATTGTTTATTTCATTTAACTATAAATAAAACATATATCAGATCCAAAAGTAATTTCAAACTATTTCGCTATGCAAGCACAGAACTAGGTTGGAAGTAAGACGAAGGCAATCAAATCATCAAGAAATGAAGTCATTGAATGTTGGTTTTAACCGTGACTGAGTGTGTTAAATTTCCGGTTTCAGTCCACATGATGGTCGTTGTCTAGCACTAAATATCTGGAATGGCATGGTTGATCATTTGCTGCAGTACTGTAGGTTCATTTACTTTTCATCTTCCTTTAAAATTTGTGTCTTGGAATTATTTTACACTTTCCAGTCCTCAGCTTTAATTGTTTCGTTTGAAGTGTGACGTTACACAATCAACTGACGTAATATATACGAATCACTTAATTTGTAAAAAAATATAAGAAATAGGATAGAATATGTAATTTAGATACGATTGATTTGAATCTATTTGTGACTTATTGTTTCCATGATACTCTACTCTCATCCATTTATGTACATTTATGTTTATCATCAGACTATGATCATGTCAAGGTATTCCATATTCTAACCAATTAGTCAATCATCTTTCGAGAGAAAACCCAAACATTTGAAATCGGGGCTAGAGAAGTATTCGACTGATAATCGATGAACTACTTCATAGGTGTTGTCCTTTAGCCCATAAGTTCATAAGGCCTCCAGTTATTTCATCTATTTGATGATCAATAGTCTAACACATTATATACGCATCAATAAATTTTCTCTTCATTTTATCTCTCAATTACAAGATAAAAGATATCAGAGATTGACTTCTTTTATTTGCTTGGATGAGATACTCGCTTCCTGTAAAATTCACTTACCAAGAAAATATTAAGAAGTTAGAGTGGTCAGTAATAGTAATCAATCATTTATCTAAAATGTCCTTCGTTGATAATATTTGGTATTTTTCATTTATGTTTATTATATTGAGAAGAAGCCTTCACATTAATGTGACTTGAAACTTTTATTTGAAATACCTATATCATTTGGCATCCGTTAATCGTGTTACTTTCAACCATCTAACGATTTGTAGTTCAACATTCTCCTACTATTTCGATATCCTTATAAGATTTAACCAATAGTAGTGTGATAGATATGCATATGGTTCACATTTCATTTTAGAAAATGTGAGAACATTTAAACGTTGATAATTCACCAAAATATGCATCTAAATAAAATGGTACACATATTTCTCAGTCATAACAAGATAGAAGTCATGTTCATCTATTTACGAGTTTACAATTTTAATCAATATTATTGAGAGGTGACTAGACATCTATTGAAATGTGAATTTTGATTTATTGAGCAGTCAGACAAAGCATTATAGATAATTATAAACAAAAATACTATAGTTTTCTTCAACTTCCAATATCAGTTAAACTGATGTTTTAAATTTCAGCCTCATAAGTATGAGTGCTTAAAATAGGTGACTAGTTCCCAGTAACATAAAGCACTCATTAAAAAATATGTCTAGTTAGATTGCTGATTACACTACATTATTGGAAAGACATTACATTAATAAAAAAACGAAATGTATGTAGATTTTTCTATTCATAGTCAGTAATCATAACGTAGTAATCACCAGTTATCTATGTTAATAATAACGAAACCAAAATATCATGGATGTGTTGTAAGTAGATGATCATAAACATTTGTTTACCACTTATTCAGTGTTAACTGACTTGTGCTAAAAAACTTTTGTATGATATTCTAAAAATAGATATGGAATTAATTACAGCTATAAACTGGGTGTCCAACTCTGTTGTCCAGTAAACTACAAGCAAAAAGTAAAACTGATTTATCATTCTGATCTGAAAGTTTAATATTATCTGAACATTAGTTCACTTAAAATTGAATCTTAAGTTTCAGTCTACATAGCAAACATATTGTACATTCGAACTAATAGAGATAAGTAAGAAAGATGGTAATTTTATAAACCCCTGAAAATATTTCTAGTTAGTATAACCTCATGTTGTTTACTTCGGATATTATGTAATTATATAGCAAAAGAAAATAAACATGTTTACTAATATTACATTGAGAGGTAGATTACTTGCTAAAGATTTTTAACTTCTAATTAACAAGTCATGAATTCAATTCTAGATCAACGTACCAAACTTTTGATAAAATCCTATTATTAAGCATTACAAGATAATGCTGGATTAAAAATAGACTCATTTAAATGTTTAACAAATATGACTGTATAATTTGTAAAATGACACTACCTACAAGTTATACAGTGACACTAGGTCCGAATGGACAATTTAAATCTTACACATTAGTGGTAAAAATTCAAAGTCAATGCGGAATAACTTAACAGTTATAAAACATTTTCGCCTTCTGACTAACATTTCAAGAAGTTGAAAGATAGTAACCCAGTTTAAATGATTAATTGTGGGGTTAAGTGAGTTTTTTAAGTTAGGTTATAATCTGACATAAGTTTAAAATAAGGGTGTTATCTTAGTGGAGCAAGGATAACGCTCTTGTCTCGAAAAATGGGTTTGGTTCCAAGTAGTATTCCTGAAGAACTGCATACTAGTGCTCCGTGGTTTTCGGTTATGTACAAGTTGATTTCAATCACTGATAAACGCCACTCACCTAAAGGACAGCAGTTTAATTCGAATGTTAAAAGTATGAACCTAACGTAAGAAATTTTATCTGATTACTAGTTTATATAAACAACTCGATTTAATTAAAGTAAAAAAATAGTTAAATATTAGTAATTTTTCATTTATATATATATATATATATACATAACTCCATGTTGTTAGCTGTTAACTCAATTTACATCATTACTAACTATGAGAATTTGATTTAATGTCAGTTTGTACGTTCGTCACCTATTTGGTATTCATTTCTAACAAATTTAATAGTCTTTGAGAATGGAAATATTCTTTTTGCCATAAATTATGACATAACTATCAACTAATCAATAGTTATATTCAACTTTTTGTATGTGACGATCTGAATGAGCATCTGTGATGATCGACTATATCATCAGTTAGCTAAGTATTTAAGGTATGAAACATTTGTTGCCAAATTGTGGTATATCGCATCGTAACTGAATTAACAATATTCTCAAATAAAGATTTTTTAAATTAGGACGTGTTAACTCTCTGCTGTTTCGTGATATCTTTCACATAAACAGAAGTATTTCTTCAGTTTTGATCAAAAATACCTTCAAATTGATCAATAATAATAATATTTTTTGACTACCAGTTACAAACATTACAATTTTCATGAATCACTTTTCCATCCTAACTTATTCATTATTTTTTTGTATAAGTTATTAAATGCCAAAGAAAATCATGAAAGACATCAATTATTCACTTTGATGGAGCAAAAATCTAAACTATAGGAGAAAGTTTATGTTGTTATATGTAATTATTCGAAACAAAACTTTTAGGAAGAGTACGGAAGTGGGTAGATATCAATATTTGACCAGTCATATATATATATATATATATATATATATATATATATATATATATATATATATATATATATAATTGTTTATCTATACATTAAATGTTTAATTAGATAAGACTACTTCAGGGAATCAGACCGTTAATCCAATGGATACTTCCTGTATTTCAATTTTCTCAAATTATTGATTGCGAGCACTAGACTCTACTCTAGATACGTGATGAAGTTAGGCGGTGTGAGTCAAACCTTAATTTCTGTTTCCATTCAAATTCCATCATCATGCCTATAAAAATAAATCAATTTTCTAACGAGGAGATGCACATTTATTAAAATCTATATTTACTAACTATCTTTAACCCTTATATCATGCTTAAATTTCTCATAGGATCTCAATATTACAGTTCTACAGAGAATTAGGATGGAAATATCATAGAAGAATTTAATTTTATGGTTTAAAAAATAAATTATCCCTTTTGAAAACTCATATTCTAGGTTTGAATTCAAGATGTGTATAGCTGAAAAATCCTCTTGAGGAACTTAATAAGTTTGTACCACTCACTAATTTATAATACATATTTGAATATTATCAGGATGGGTTTTGTGGAGAGTTTTTAGAAATTTCACAGGTTGAAATCATAAGTCAATTGAAGCTAGACCACCATGGAGGAGTCCCATACTAGGACGAAACGGCCGTCCAGTGCTTCCAGGTTTTCCATGGTGGTCTAGCTTCAAGTGACTCATGATTTCAACCTGTGAAGTATTTGAATATTATCAGTTTGTCATAAAAATCTGAGCTCGTACATTCAAATGTTTGATTATCATAAGTTTGAATATTACACAATAAAGAACTCACTTCGTTAGTACGATAGGAAATTTTCAAACACTTGGTTTGATATTTTATCGATTTTAAGATGAATTCCAATATTTGAAATATGCACAAAATAGTTGTCTTTGTTTTCTTGCACAGTTTGTAACGTGATAAACGTAAGACGTCCCAATCTGTCTCTATAAATATGATTTAAATTGTCAGTCCCCTGATTTATGATAGACGGAAGTGCCAAATAATCCACTTTACTCTATCGACAGATGGGTGTGCTGTCTGTCTGTTAGTCTATGTTACAGCTAGCTTCAACTTGATTTAGGCAGCACAACCCATTCGTTAATGGGTACTGTATTTTTGTGAGCCAGTGCACGGGTTAGAGGAGCAAGCTTTGAGAGTGAAAAAATCAGTCACTGTATCCATTATTCTCAGTTTGTGTGTAGGTGTGCAATCACTGTTATTTACAATTTAGTTGTTGGCCTTATGGAATTGTGCCTTTATTGTGCTCCTGCCTTCATAGCACTGGTGACTATACGCTCACACACACCCAAAAATTTTCTACACCCCTACAAAGTACTCACCCACTCAAACTCACCATCACCCTTACTCCCGTTCTGCCATTCTCCTGAATCGGGATGCTACCACCCTTATTAACATTTCTAAAGAACACACAGCAACCCATTCATGTGAGTTATAATACATGGATCGATAGGACCAAGGCAGAGCTAAACCCAGACTTTAGACAGCTCAAAAAATGGAATGTGAATTCAATGGGAGACAGCTTGAAAGTTTATGCATGTTTCATCTGCGTTCACCCACGTCCAGAGTTCTAAATAAGTTTCTAGAGCAGAGGGGGGGTGGTAATCAATGAGTATCAAGCCAATAACCTGATTATCATGTGGCCGAGGTCACGTCTGAAAAATAATGGACCACAGCAACTAAATCCACAGGAGATACAAGCACAAACTAGTATCATTTCCTTTTCAACTTGACTATTTCAAATTGATTAGTGCACATATACACAAACGCACATATTTAACTACATATGCGGGTGATCTCTGGGCTTGTGGGTAAAATGAGGGTTGATAGAGATGTAGTGATAGACATATTTATGCACACTTAAAAGTGGAATTTGTGTACAGATGTTATGTGTATAGATACACCTATGTGGGTGTATGTACATAAGTTTGTAATGTATTGTGAATCAGTGAACAGAGATACAAAGAATGTCACTAGAATTGATTGGAAATACGTTTTTCAAACTTGTTCTCCAATTCTGGTTGGAATTAAAATCGATCAATTAATTAGCCAACTAAATGATACTTTTCATATCACTAATTAAAGTTTCCATTTTTAAAGTAATTATTGCTAAAATCCGTTTTCATGATTTAAAAACTGGTTATGAGTGTGTTAGACATATTAAGTCATAACATATTTATTGATTTGACAAAACTGTGGTGAAGATGATTCAAATACAATAAAGTTAATTATGAGATAACTAGTATACTGTACTGAGTAATTACAATTAGCTTAAGTTGCGGTAAAGATTAATATGATTAATATATATTATAAGATATGATCTACAAGTGAAAAACAGTCGATAAGGATAGGGTTATGGATAGCTGTTCCGTTTCTTAATGGAGTAATATAGAAAACAAGAATTTCAGATCATGTGAATAGTAGATAATTATTTTTTAAAAGTCTGAATTAGTAATTTTTATTGCGAACTATTGAAAACCAGGTAGTACTGAACAACAATGCTCACCTACTGCTCTAAACAAGAAATAACCTAGGACCTTCATTCTTAATTATGAATCTTACCGACCACTTGATATGAATCCATTGGTGGATATTTCAAACCTCAATTAATTGATAAAGAGCCACCATCACCCATTACATTGAAACCTATCTCACTCCGAACATGGGTGGATCTCAGTGGTAACAGATTTTCAAAAGAACTCCCGGAATTCCTCTCTAGTCTAGACTTTAGTGAATAGACATTTTTTATTGAGATTTGTGGTTTATGCAGAACTTTCAATTTATTCGTTTAGTTGGTCCCAATCTTACCAAACACTATCAAAGTTTTGAACACCACTCTTGATAATTAATCACTTGAGTAAACCATCTCTTTAGAAACTAAATGTATGAAATATGATCTTCAAAATGACTTCTTAAGATTGTAAGGAAGCGATATATGAAATGTTGACTACTTGAGAATTGCCTCCAAATGCCCCGGTACGGCCGAAGGTGGGGAGAGTCAGCTCACCCTTTCAAAATGCTCTCATGTGACCACACGTATATAGCCACTGCCACGGAAGTCCTACTCACTGCCTTCTCGCGGCGAGGGTGTTGCTTACGAAATTGAGAGGACGAAAAGCGAATTTTCGGAGCTTTAACCGGGTTGGTGGGTACGGAGCATCCAATTAGCGCAGTTGGAAAACCCTAATTCGAAACCAATGATACACATAGACTCCAGTATCCTGAGGGAACAAATGGCCTATGAACCAGTCGTTGGTCACCAACTACCATGGGACTGCATTTCCCGATGTTGCCCCACTGCCTTGTGGATCAGACCTTTAGGTCAAAGGCTCTGGGTGTGGCCCCCCAGGAAAACCACTTGTTTCGGTTTGGGCACCCGGGTGGTATCACAGCCCACACACAAATCAAGTGACTTATGTGGCGTATATGTATTCGGTGCCCCTTCGTACCAATATTTATGTATTCAAATAAATAAATAAACTAAATACTTGTGAATTGAATCTTTATATCGCGGAGTGCCTTTGAACATCCAACAAAATTAAACGCTAGCATCTGTCACTTTAAACAATCATTCCATTACACGATCAATCTGTTGTGTTAAATTATTCACCTTTCGTTCAAAGGCTGTACAAAGTTATCAGGATATAAGACCTCTTATTGTTAATTTCCATGACTAAATTATTAAATTCATGCTGGTGTACGGTCTTTTAATAAGAGTATATCTAGAGCGAGAGAGCCTGTGATTGTATCATGATGGAAACATTTTTAGCGGAGCTCGAAGCACCAATCTAATTTTATTTTAAACCTATTAAATGGCTTACATACATTCAAGTTAGTGTTAGTGTTAGAATTAATAAATTATGATGAAATTACTTCAGTTTCGCCTTTGCATGATCCTACTGTTATAATCAGCAGGAAAATTGGTCTTCCTTGAATGTCAAGTGCTGACCGTGAATCAAGAAACTTCCTATTCACCTTCTCCATTTCTTTTCAATGTTTATTTTCTGACATGTTGTCAGGATTTGGATAGTTTTAGGCCACGATGCGACTTATTACTCATCAGATATTGACCATAATCTCTGGATTAAAAGATTATTTTGTTTGCCACGATTTAGTCGTTGGGCTTATTATTTCCGATTGTTGTAGGGAATTCACTCACATCGTTTGTTATAATCCAGTTAAGAAGAGAATTAACCAGTTATGTAAAATAAGATATAACTCCACCTGCAGCTCTTCTAGAGTTACTGTCTGTCCCAAGCCCGGGTAAAGAAGGAGGGTTGGGCATGGGGTTAGCGACCCCATCACATAGAAAACTAACTCGCTAAGAAATCGCTAACCAGAAAAAATAATTCAATCCATCTAAACTCTGCCCTGGGAGTTAGAAGGTCTTCATTTAGAAGAACTATGACGCCTCATGTTGAAAGTCGAGCTCATACGGAAGCCACGAGGCCGATGCTTCTTCTAACAACCAGAGCAACAATTTTTATAGGTACATGGAACGTACGGACAATGTGGGAGACCGGGAAGACCAGTCAAATAGCAACGGAAATGAGGAGATACAAATTCGCTGTACTGGGAATCAGCGAAACCCATTGGACCGAAGCTGGACAACAAAGGTTAAATACGGGTGAGATGCTGCTTTACTTCGGCCACGAAGAGAAATATGCTTCACACACTCAGGGAGTCGCTCTAATGCTGTCCAAATTAGCACGAAACGCACTTGTAGGATGGGAATCTCACGGATCCAGAATCATCAAAGCATCATTCAAAACAAAGAAGGAGGGGATTTTAATGAATATTATCCAATGTTACGCACCCACCAATGATAGCAACGACGACATTAAAGATCAATTCTACTAGCCGCTGCAGTCGATCATAGAGAAGTGCCCAAGAAACGAGATCTAAGCGCCAAAGTCGGAATAGACAACACCGGATATGAAGATATCATGGGACGACATGGACTGGGAGAGAGAAACAAAATGGGGAAAGATTTGCAAATCTATGTGCATTCAACAAATTGATCATAAGCTGCACAATATTTCCACACAAACGTATACACGAAGCTACATGGATCTCACCGGACCACACCACAGAGAACCAGATAGATCATATTTGCAACAATAAGAAATTCTGAAGGACAATGAAAGATGTGAGAACCAGGAGAGGAGCTGAAATAGCTTCAGATCACCACCTAGTTGTGGACAATTTAAAACTGAAGCTAAAGAAGAACCGGACAGCTGGCCAAACCGCACTACAAAGATTCATTACAGTCTTCCTTCGACATACTGACAAACTCAATGAATTCAAGATAGCTCTCAACAACAGGTTCCAAGCTTTACAGGATCTACTGAAGGAAGAAGAAACTACTATGGAGGACAACTGGAAAGATATCAAAAAAGCATTGACTTCAACGTGTCAAGAGGTTCTAGGCCTCAAGAAGCATCTTCATAAGGAGTGGGTCACTATAGAAACACTGAACAAAATCAAAGAAAGGAGGAACAAGAAGACAGCAATTAGCAATAGCCAAACACGAGCAGGGAAAGTTCAAGCACAAGCTGGGTACATAGAAGGAAACAAGCAAGTGAAGAAGAGCATTAGAGACGACAAGAAGAAGTACGTGAAAGAACTAGCAACGATGGCGGAAAAAACTGCAAGAGAAGAAAGCATGAAACAGCTTTACGATACAACGAAGAAACTAGCAGGGAAATATAGAAAACCAGAGAGACCGGTCAAAGACAAAGAAGGCAGGCCAATCAATGAAACCCAACAACAGTGAAACAGACGGGTAGAGTACTTCGAGGAACTCCTGAATAGGCCGGCTACAATGAATCCACTGGATATCAAAGCAGCACTCACAGATCTTCCTATAGATGTCAGAATGGCCATCAGACAAATCAAGAGCGAGAAAGCAGCAGGACCCCACAATATACCAGCTGAAGCACTGAAGTCAGAAATCGAAGTAACTACAAACATGCTTTATCTTCTATTCAAAAAGATTTGGGAAGAGGAACAAGTGCCGATGGACTAGAAAGAAGGACACCTCATCAGGATTCCAAAGAAAGGAGATCTGAGCAAATGTGAAAACTACAGAGACATTGCACTACTGTCAATACTAGGGAAGGTCTTTAACAGAGTGTTGCTGAACCGGATGAAGGATGCAGTAGACGCCCAACTTCGAGAACAACAAGCTGGATTCCGTAAGGATCGATCGTGCACAGACCAAATTGCGACACTACTGATCATCGTCAAACAATCGGTTGAGTGGAACTTGTCACTGTGCATTGACTTCATTGATTATGAAAAGGCATTTGACAGTGTAAATAGGAGAACGTTATGTAAACTTCTTCGACATTACGGAGTTCCTGAGAAAATTGTCAACATTATCCGGAACTCATACGACGGACTACAGTACAAGGTCGTGCATGGAGGACAGCTGACAGACACATTCCAAGTAAGGACCGGAGTCAGACAAGGCTGTTTAATCTCTCCCTTCCTCTTTCTTCTGATGGTTGACTGGACTATAAAGACCTCGATATCTGAGGGAAAACACGGCATACAATGGACAGCTCAGAACCAATTAGACGATTTGGACTTGGCAGATCACCTAGCCCTCCTATCAAATACACACCAACAAATGCAGACAAAGACAGCCAGTGTAGCAGCAGTCTCTGCATCAGTAGGCCTCAGCATACACAAAGGGAAAACCAAGGTCTTCAAATACAACACGGCGTACAGCAATCCAATCACTCTTGATGGTGAACCTCTCGAAGATGTAGAATCCTTCACATATCTAGGAAGCATCATCGATGAACAAGAAGGATCAGATGCAGACGTAAAGGCAAGGACTGGCAAAGCAAGGGTCGCATTTCTACAACTGAAGAACATATGGATTTCAAAACAATCTTCAACCAATATCATAGTGAGAATCTTCAATACCAACGTCAAGACAGTTCTACTGTATGGAGCTAAAACTTGGAGAACTACAACAACCAATCAAGAAAGTACAATTATTTATAAATAGCTGTCTATGCAAGATACTCAACATCCATTGGCCGGATACCATCGGCCTTTTGTGGAAGAAAACAAATCAGCTTCCAGTTGAAGAAGGAATTATGAAAAGACGATGGAAATGGATAGGACATACATTACGCAAATCATCAAACTGCATCACAAGACAAGCACTAACGTGGAATCCAGAAGGGAAGGAGAAATGAGGAAAGCCTAAGAACACATTACGTCGGATAATAGAAGCAGATATGAAAAGGATGAATAACAACTGGAAGGAGCTGGAAAGGATTGCCCAGGAGAGGGTTGGATGAAGAATGCTGGTGAGCGGCCTATACTCCTTCACCATGAGTAACAGGCGTAAGTAAGTAAGTAAGTAAAATAAGATATGCTTCATAAACCATACCATAATCAAAATTACTAATGAATGAAGACAATGGATATAAAATAAAGTGATTATTGCCAATTTCATCGTTCACAGTATACTGCACGACAATATTTAAAAAATATGTTTCTTTAAAAGCTCAAGTTAAACAGAATGTGATTAGAACAAAAATGAATCTGACGTCAGCTTCTGAAAAGTTTAAAATAAACTATGTGGAAAGAATTTAGAACAATTTATATTTGATAAGTTTAGGATAGAGGAAAACATTGACCAACAGAGCATAACATTTCTCATTTTAAGATGATCTGTAAATATGAACTGTTTGCAATATGATGTCGTATCTAATCAGTAACTAGATATTTGGAATGCTATGAAAACCTTGTATATTACCCACTTTTTTACGATTAAACAAAGAATATATATATGCTAACAAACTTCTTTCTTCGATTTTTCCCTCTAATACATTAATCACATGGAGAATTAATTAATGCAGTGTTTGTATAAATCACATTGTATCTTTTCTTAAATAAGATTAGGTATTGTTTTTAATGAAGTCAATTAAATTTCATTACCCCTTCAGAGATAATATGACATCATCCTTCACAATTATCCGTAGCAAGTAGCCTATTGAAATTGTATTCTTTCATTCTTCTTATCTGTGACAGAAAAAACGAATCAATAAATACATAGAGTTATAAGGATTTCCATATAAACCAAAATGAAAATTTTCGATATGATATTAAAGTTAGTTATCCTACTCGAAGGAAATCTTATATCCTACACTTCTCAGCTTCAAGTAACTAGTGATAAATATTATAACTATCCATATTATTATTCACAGTCTTTTATTAGTAATTTCAATCTACGTAACCCATTTTTTTCTCTTTAACAGAACCCTTAATACATCTAGTAGGCCTGATATAACTTTTCAACTCACTTGAAGTATCAACAGTTGTTGGGAAGCCAGATACCAGAATTGGTATGGTGAACAGATCGCATGAAATATTATTTTGGTTCAAAATCAGTGAACACACATCTATTGTCTGAGTCATTCTCACTGCCATTAAACACAAACAAGGAACAGAACTTCCTATGTAGCTTCTTACAATTCTCTATACAATTTACTTGGTCAAATATTAGGAGTCAACATCATTGTGTAAATTGAGTCATTATTTATTTTACTCATCCTATCTGAACATTTGATAATTACTATTGAATATTATTAATGATAATATAAATTGCATATTTTCATTTTCTTGAACGCTTGTAGTTCTTAAAGTTCACAATATACACCAAAAGACTATACATTAATCCATGTTTTCGTTTGCTTTCAATTTCTAAGAGTATTTCTGAGATAAATTCAAACAAACGATTGTGTAAGTTTGTTTGTCATTTAAATTTCATAGCTAAACAGAAAACGTGTTAAGCTAGTATTCTTTCAGCTTTAATGTTCATTTCCATAGAGTCTGACATGAATATATATTTAACTGATTTAGTAATAAATTCATTTTTCACCTAAACTCACTCATGATGTTTATGATGAAATGCATTACTAAATTTCTATAATTGTACTATGTACCTTCCTTGTGTTGATGATAGATATAAACCACTATATTTATCACTGATTAAAATCATGAGTCAATTGAAGCTAGACCACTATGGAAAACCTGGAAGCACTGGATCGCCGTTGGATGCCGGCTTAATGGTGTAGTTGATTAGGCGCCTGGTGCGAGACTGATAGGTCCTGGGTTGGAATCTCGCGAGGTGCAGGTTCGTGGATGCGCACTGCTGAGGAGTCCCATACTAGGACGAAACGGCTGTCTAGTGCTTCCAGGTTATCCATGGTGGTCTAGCTTCAATTGACTCATGATTTCAATCAGTGAAATTTCTAAAAATCTCCACAAAACGCATTCTGATAATAATCATCTGCTCAATAGTGACTAACTTCAAGAGGCATTTCCTGGAGTTCTAGTGAGAAGCCGTTACCAGTGGAGTTCAAGCAGATCTGTCGTGAGATATCAACTCACTGAAGACAATGGTGTACGGTGGCGCAACTTTGTGGATTGGTTGAAGTTAGACATTAACACCGTTTCTTTAATGTAATAAAGAGACGAAGTTGATATGAAAAGTGTAAAGTATTTTCTCGGTACGTTTCGATAATCTCATGATATCTTTCTTTTTCTTACATTTGCAACTATCAATGTATATTTAATCAATCTTTCATAGCTTTTTATATAGCCTTCATTGACAAGTAGACGTGTGATTAGATTGCCTGAAATATATTTTTTTTCGAAATCATTGTATTTATGAGTCCAAACGAATCTTCTGATTCGATTATCGGAAGATATCTTTTAAAAGAATAGTTTCAATTAGTTTATAACTTAATACACAATATAGAATATAATCTTGTGTCATATAGTATAAATAATTTTAAAAAAAACGTTAGTTAAGGTTTAACAGAACTATCTAAAATGTCTGGATGGTCACCGAAACTGTTTTCTCTCTTCATTTACTAATTAATTCCTACTTCTTTTTTAAACTATAGTTGGTTAGGCATAATAATTAATAATAATAATAATAATAATAATAATAATAATAATAATAATAATAATAATAATAATAATAATAATACTTATAATAGTGCAAAATGTAATTCACAGAACAAAATATATAACCAGATAAATTAATTAAGGCTGAACTATTTGTTTATAGATGTGATATTTTATCAATTAAAAATTAACTCATTGCCATTTCCATTTGATCGAAATCATTTCTTTTCATTGAATGAGAATATAATATAGTTTCATCAGGGTATTTTGTACCATTTGGAATTAATCGTTTTTGAAGAACTGGCTTTAGCTGGATGATGATAATGCAAAGTAATTATCTTACATACCTTCGTGCCCAAACTGATTAGATCTCACTATAAAATCAATGTCGAATACTAGGATTCAGATTTTCAAACTTATCAGTATAGGGATTGTGGAAGTTATCAAGTTTTTGATTCAATCGGTTTATGATCTCAATCAAGGACAATTTTCAAACTTAAAATGTCTTCAAGATTATGTTATCCTTATTCATTGTCGTTGAGGAGTTATTGTTTGATTTCTAAATTATTTGACTTCATAGGTCAAGGCTTCTAAATAAAAATCATAAGGATCCATCTTGATCCCAGTTTCTTGTGAATGCTTGATTGCATAAGTTCATAAGGGAAATCACAGTAAAATTTTCCAAAAAAAAGATGGACAGAAAAATTTATTTAAAATTTTTAGCATAAAAAAATGAGAGAAATATCAAACTAACTGTTTTCTATGTGTTTGATGTTTATTCTTCTGGTGAACGAGTTGATAATGAGGATCACAATCTCATTTGGTTTAAAGTTGTTGGGTAGAACAAGTCAATTTTCACCTTTTTAACTAACCCATTTCAATGGTCAGACTCAAATATTTTCTTTGCTTCATACTTTATGTTTATCATGAATAAATAGAGAGACATTTCAATTAAGCTATTGTATATACATATGTCAGGAGGACCGATTTGAATTTTTATACACTTTAAAAAGTTTTAGAAATCTATGCTCATCAACACTTTAGTAATACTTATATGACACTTTAGACGAAATGAATACTTTAGATGGTAATTTACAAGGTAATTAAATTGTACTCCTCTAAAAAGTATGTTTTTCCACTTAATTTACTCAACAAACAGACAGCCGAATCACTAAGTGGCACCAACTATATGACATTACTTCCAAATTCTACTAATAGTTTAGCATAAAAACAGTGAATTCACGAAATAATATAAATCTAACAAAATTATTTATGTGGCCTGATTAGCTATAAATCACTCTGTGATTTAAACTATGGAAATTCTTCAATTTCCATAGATTCCTCCATAATATTAACAGTCATTTGTTCTGTAGTGACTAACTTCAAGAAGCAATTTTTGAATATTCAGTGAGAAGTATTGATACAGGATACGCAAGATACAGCGGATGCGGATTGCACAAATCGCAAACATACATATCACTGGATGCCAACTCAGCCGTATATACATCAAGCGCTCGTGCAAGAGACCGAAGTTATTGGTCTCGATTTCCTGTGGTAGGGTCGTGAATGGTTACTTCTGGGGAGTCCCATACTGGAACGGAACAGTCGCCCAGTGCTTCCAGATTTTATATAGTTATTAAAGCTAAAATCAGTTCATCACCTCAACTATGAACATTTTACAGCCTTCACAAATCTTCCATCACTAATAACCAGGTCATTAGCAAAGAGAAAGCTTGTTTCATACTACTTAAGCCGATTACATTTTCCACTCTATTTAACTCACTGAATCAACAATAAAATCATAGCTCACTAGAAACCATAATTTTGTTTCACTGTGATGTAGTCCTATAAGTAAACTTATCTATAATAGTTTTAAGAACAGCGAGGATTGTACTATGTTAAGAGACAGAACAGAATATTGTCTTAGTTATAATTATTATTCCTTGAGGTTTTCTACCTAATTAGTTTCTATTGTAATAGTAACTGTGAATATTACCAATAATATTGTATTTCTACACCTTGGTTCTACACTTCATTATATGAGGAATTTTATTTCAGTTTACAACTCTTAGTTACCTAATTTTCATGTAATAAGATTATATCATTTGCGAAATATTCAAAAGTGACTGTTCAATATTTTTATTGTCAGTTATTAGGCTATAACCAATTCAACATCTAACACGCTGGAGAATGTATGAAACTAACAGTGTAACAATGTAATAGGTGAAGTGTTGATTAGGAAAGTATCTCTATTAATTTGGATTTTATTGACTTCCGAGAATAGTTTCCGCATTACGAGATGGTGAAGATTTGTAGCTCAGGTGGATGATTTTGATGGAGATTTGTTCTCTGAGCTGGATGGTTTGGTCGTGGAGCTTTCATTGTTTTTCTGAACGACATCATCAGCACAAACTTCTATCTGAATTTGGTTATGCTTTCAGAAAAAATAAACGTAATTCAACAAATCGGTGTCTCATTTTCATTTTGCTTAAAAAGAACTAAAAGTTAGGCAAACAGTCAACAAATAATTTAAGATTTCATTGAAATGTGTATTCAAATAAAAAAAGGTAAGTAATATCAATACTGGATAAAAATGAATGTCCGAATGATCAATCGACAAACTAACAAACTAATTGTATAGGTAGTTGAATGAAGTAAACATGCAACTTGTTAATTCGATGACTAACCAACCAGTTTCACATAACATAGTTTCATAAATTTTTCAGGTTTTGGTTATTTCGTAAATGTTCAATCTCATTTGCATTCTATATGATAATGAGATTCCCTTCTTTTCATATGAAGCTGATTTCTTAATGACTGAATAAAGATTTATGTAGGTCTACCTTTCTATCTCTCTCATTTCATGTACTAAAACATAAATATATAATCATACACAAATGTACAGACAAAAATGTAGAGAATAGTGACAAAAAAAATCATCAAAATCCATGCTTTCTACTTTTTCCATGTATATAGAACAAACCTAATACATAGAAAACAAGGTAAGTAGGTAACACAAAGTAAACTACTTAAGAATTCTGATTAACATCAAGATTTACGGCATAGATATACAAATATAGAGTTCCATAGTACAATGTTGTTTTTATTTATAATTAAAATTGAACAAAATGAATATTGATATTGTCATTGTTGTAGTTGGTCACAGTGTTATTTACGCTCAATAATCAACAAATAATAATTTCTGATGACTACACATCACTCCCAAGTGAAAAATGTGTGCGGTTGTTTAGTAAATAATTTATATGTAAATATGCTTAAGTGATTTGAAAGAGTTTTTTTCTTTAGAAAAATGATTGAATTACGGTAAGGAATTTTGTTCAGGTTAAATGGATCTTTACAATGGGCCATGTTAATTTTGGAATTGATTAAAAAGTACAAAAAAATTAAATGGCACTGACATTGTATTCATATTTGATGGTACTTGAACTTATTCTTCTCTTAGAAAAATGTTGTATTCAGTTTACACGCTGACTACTTCATTA